CCAGTGCTTGTATAAATAAATAAATAAATCTTTAAAAAAAAAATTGATGTTTAACCTTTTGAGGAATTGCCAGACTTTTTTCCAAAGTGGTTACATTTCCACCAGTTGTGTGTGAGGGTTCTGATTTCTCTACATCCTTGTCAACACTTGTCATTATCTGTCTTCTTGATTGTGGCCATCCCAGTGTGGATGAAGTAGTGTTTGTCATGGTTTTGATTTGCATTTCCCTTGTGGCTAATATGTTCAGCATCTTTTCATGAACCTGTAGGTAATTTTTAAAAAAGATTTATTTATTTATGCATACAAGAGCTGGGGTACAGGTCAGAGATGAGGGGGGTGAGAGGATTCAGCAGAGACAGAGTGGGGAACAGTACAGGCAGACTGACTGAAATACACTGCTGAGGGGAGCAGCAGGTGAGACAGGAGAGGTCTGCTGCGCCAGGAGGGTTGTTCTCTGGCCGGCCAGGGATCAAACTCGTGTTGCAGAGGCTGCGGATAGCTTCTTAGTGCTGTGACTGAACCCCTTGCGCCACTAGGGAGGCCCCTGTAGGTCATTTTTATATCTTCTTTGGAGCCACATCTCTTCAGACCCTTTGCCCATTTTTAAATTGAGTTATTTGTAGTTATGAGCTCTGTATGCATTCTGGTTATAATTTCCTGCTCAGATATACAGTTTGAAAATATTTCCTTCCATTTGTGGGTTGTCTTCTCACTTTCTTAGTAATGTCCTTTGTAGTACAAAAGTTTTCTATTTTTGTGATATCCAATTTACTTTTTGTGTTTTGCTAGTTTTGGTGTCCTATTGAAGAAGTGATTATAAAGAAAGTTATAAAGAACTATACCTGTTTTTTCCTCAGTATTTTATAGTTTTAGCTCTTACATGAGATCTAAGATTCATTTTGAGTTAGTTTTGCATAGAGTGAGGGCAAGTGTCCATCTTACTTCTTTTGCATGTGGATAGCCAGTTGTTCCTGCACCTTTTGTTGCAAAGACTGTCTTTTCTCCAAGGGTATCTTTTTTTAATTTTTAAAAAAGATTTATTTATTTATGCATACAAGAGCTGGGGCATAGGCCAGAGTTGTAGGGGCTGAGAGGATTCACCAGCGAGAGAGAGGGGAGCAGAACAGGTAGATCTACTGAAATACCTGCTGAGGGGAGCAGTGGGTGAGACAGGAGTGGTCTGCTGCACCATGTGGGTCAACTCCCTGACCTGGGTTCGAACTTGTGCTGCAGTGGTTGCGGATAGCTTCATAGTGCTGTGACTTAACCCCTTGCACCACCAGCGAAGCCCTCTCCAAAGGTATCTTGGCACCCTTATTGAAAATCAGTTGGCTGTAAATGTCAAGGTTTATTTTTGGACTCTTAATTCAGTTCTATTCCATTGATCTATGTCTGTCCTTATGCCAGTACCTCACTGTTTTTATTATTATAACTGCAGAAACTTGAAATCAAAGTATAGGTCTTGCAACACTGTTCTTTTTTCATTATTGTTTTGCTTATTTGAGGCAACTTAACTTTACATCTATTTTAAGGTCTTCTTGTCAATTTCTGCAAAGAAGCAAGTTGAAATTTTTTAAATTTTATTTTAGTTTTGGAGTTACATCTTTGCTCTTCCATATCTGCATGTGTTCCCCTTACCCTCCACCAAACGAGTTGCACTAATGCCCTCTCTACCAACCTCCTCTCTGGTAACCATTTAAATATTTCATTAAGTCCAAGACTTATTCCTGCTGTATTTTGCCTGTGTGTTTTTATGTTATTTACACTCCACAGATGAGTGAAACAATTTGAAATCTACGTTTCATTTAGCATTATCACCTTGAGGTCCATCCATGTTGTCCCCAAAGCCACTAATCTTTTACACAGCTGTGTAGTATTTTTAAAAAAATAGTTATTTATTTATTTATACAAGAGCTGGGGTACAGGCCATATTCGCGGGAGGGTGAAAGGATTCACCTGAGACAGAGCGGGGAGCAAAACAGGCACACTAAAGAAATACACTGCTGAGGGGAGCAGCGGGCGAGACAGGAGAGGTCTGCTTGCCCTGTGGGACCCTCGCTGGTCGGCTGGGATCGAACTGGCACTGGAGAGGCTGCGGACAGCTTCACAGCGTGGCGCTCAGCCGCCTGCACCACCAGGAAAGGCCCACAGCTGTGTAGTATTCAGTAGAGTATATATTCCACAATTTCTTCATCCTTTTATCTGTGAAGAGAACTTAGTTGGTTACATGGATTGGCAATTAGTGGACAGTTCCTCTACATACATAGGCATACATAAATCTTTTTCCATTCGCATATTTTTGCAAGTTAGAATTTTGATGAGGATTGTGTTGAATCTGAAAATCAATTTGGGTAGTCTTGCCACCTTAATATTGGGCTTTGGATCCAGGAACATGGGGTGTTTTTTCATTATTTAACCGTACTTCAATTTTTTCCAACAACATTCTATAGTTTACAGAATTTACATTTTATACTTTCATTAAATTTATTTTGAACATTTAATTTTCTTTGGTGCTAATGTTAATGGGAATTATTTTCTCAATTACGTTTTGAAGTGTTCATTGCAAATGTATGGAAATACATTTCTATATTGTATATTCATCTTATATCCTGCAACCTTGCTGAACTTATCGATTCTCACACTTTTTTTTTGTGGATTCCCTAGAGTTTTCTATATACAAGATCATTCCATCTATAAATAGAGATAGTTTTACTTCTCTCTTTGCAATCTGCATGCCTTTTTTTTTTTTTTCTTATCCAAGTGTCCTGGCTGGAAATTTCCAGAACAGTTTTGAACAGAAGTGACAAGAATAGATGTCTTTGTCTTGTTCCTGGTCTCAGAGAAAAAGCACCAGTCTTTGACCATTTATTTCCATACTCACTATTGGAAGGTTCACATTATGATTGCCTGAAAGGTTGACGTTTAGCAGGTTAATGAGAGGGAGATCCAGTTCCCTCACTCCTGGCCAATGTAGTTGCTCAGGTTCGGAGGTGAGGAACCCAAGGCCAGGGAGGGGAAGTACTGCATGCCTCATCACAAATCTGCTCTTCTGCGTGTGGTGCAGCTGTCCACAGTCACTTGGGACTGAACCTCTTGGACACTCAGTCTTCCCTCCCCTGGTGGAGATGCCTTGAGACCCACTTCTGTCAAACTCTGGGCAAGCCACTTTCTCCCTGTGCCTCGGTTTCCCCATCTGTGCAATGACAAGGAAGTCTACCCTGAAGTCCTCCAACTCTGACCACCTGTCATTAAACCAGCATAAGCTTGCACCATTGCCCAAAATGACCACCAGAGGGTGCCCCAGACTAGTATTTGACCAGTTCTGGCACAAGGGGCCCAGGGGAGGTTGTGAGGTAGGGTGTGTTTTCCATGAGCTGCCAGCTTTGCTTGTATTATATATGCTTCCTGTGGCTTCACCTGCCCAACCCCTCTGCCCCATTCTGCTGGCTGAGTTCTGAGCTTAGACAGGGAAAGTTGGAGACATCATCCACAAAGCCAGCAATCTCGCACTCATCCTTACTCGCTTTGGGTTGGCTCTTTAAGACCCGGGTGCTCCAGCATCAGGCCGACAGCCTTGAATTTCTCAGCCTGGAAAGCCTCCCACTATCTCTGAGCCTCTTATTGGATCTGCATCCTTCCCCCACTGCTTTGCCAGGCAATAGGAAGTCCCATCCCTGTGGGTGGCTGGCTGCCTAGAAGGGGCACGTCACAACCCATACTAGGGGTGGATGGATTCTTGGTGGGGGTCAGTGAAGTCCTAAAACCACAGCATCCGGGACCCCCACACTCCTCCAGTGATAGACCCCACAATCACAGATGCAGGTACCATAGACATAAGGACCACCTGGTACTGCCTGAGCAGAGCATCTGGCTCCTTTTGTGAAAGACTCTCTTCAGAGCACCAGAGGGACTCTATCAGCACCCCCTCCAAACTCCCCCAATGCTGATTTTCTCCCCCAAATAGAAGCAGAACCTTTGCTTTGCAAGCAGATCTCTAAGACAAAGCAGTATCTCTCAGGTCCCTGACGGAGTCCCTCCTCCCCCAGATACAGTCTCATAATTTGTTTTTCTCTACCCTTCCAGGCTGGGTTCCCTTGAAGGTAGAGGGACTCTCATATTCTCCCTGGCCCCCTCCATGATGGCTGGTTCAGGACTTGGAGCACAGAAGAAGCTCAACAGATGTCTCCACTGGAACCCCAGTCCCATCCTCTCCCCGCCACCGCGAGGGCCCCGGGCTGCCTCTGCCCCGACTGAGCTGTGTGGCTTCGAGTCAGTCACTTAACCTCACTGGACATTCCCTTTATGCCCTTCTTTGCTCTTCTACTTCCCTCAAAATCTTGCTGGGGTCAGAGAGGGTGTGAGAGCCTTGAAGGAAGGTGACGGGACATCCTTGTCCTCACACAGGTCTCATAGAGGAGAGGCAGTTTCCATCCACCCAAGCCCCCCAACATTTCCAGACCTGTTCTGTAGACCAAAAACGACACTAAGCAACCCCCCTGGATTATCATCCCCAGCTTTGCAGAAGGGGAAACAGGCATGGAGCCATTGGCTGCCTTGCCTGGGCCACACAGCTGGCAAAAGGTGGGGCTGGGACTCAAACCCAGGTGTGTGGCCCCTGGAGCCCCTGAGCCACCCCTTCCCTCAGGTCGATGTGAGGCAGGGACAGGCAGCTCTGCTTGTGGTCTCTTCGTTCTCCGTATCCGAGTCTCCAAGGGTCTTCCAGAGCATTCGTTGTAGTCTTCTCTTATAGATTGGAGCGCTGAGGCCAGAAAGGAGCACGATCCTTCCACCTCTCACACTCACAAGAGCACCTGGGTGGTGGGACCCCACCAACGTCCTGGTGGTGAGGGCGGGGAAATTGGGTGATGCCTAATGTCGGGTGTCTCAAAATCTACAATTCTCACTCCCTAGAGTCACCATCTGACTTGGTTGGATTCATGTGCCCAAATTTGGGGTTTGGGAAGAGGGGTGCAAGGGAGCACCTCCGAGGCTGAAACTGATGCCCACCTACCAGCCCAGACACTGGGCACCAACAGGCTCCTCCCCAACTGGGCCCTTATCAGGAAGGCAATTTGGGTTGGTGGGGAGGGGAAGTCCCAGGCCCCAGGCTGGAGCAAGGTGGGTAGGAGAGATAGGGAAGTGGGGAGGGGGCCGTGGGGCCCTGCTGGGAGGCCAGAGGGTGAAAGGGATGCCCAGAGCCAGCGGAGGGGGCTTTCGCCCAGTGCTGTCCTTGCTGGCCTGGGTCCTCGACATGGTGCCGGAGCAGCTCCTGCCTTCCACCCTTGCCAGGCAAGACGCCCGCACCTTTAATTAGCAAGTAGCAGCCTCTCCCCGATTCATCACAGTCACTGTTTAATTAGCCAAGCACCAGGCACCCCCACCCCCCAGCTCTGGGTTGAGCTGCCGCCTCTGTCGCTGAGGCTGCCACCGCCTCATGGTGTCCCCTGTCCCCCCCAGGCTGGGGGCGGGGGTGGGCACGCCTGGCTGAAACCTCAAGGAGATTCTGGGCATCGACGCTTGTATTCAAGGCATTCAGCAAACGTTGTTAGGGCCGCGGTTGTGTGCCAGCCTGGCGCTGGCGGCCTGGACTGCGTGGGGCGCCGGCCCTCGCCTGCCCGGCTGTGCGAGAATGGCTCTGCGCTGTGGAGGTGCCAGGACATCTCTCCAGCTGGTCCCTGGGTGTTGGGAAAAGACTGGAATAACCTTCCATGCTGCTCCCACCCCACGTGGGGAACGGGACGCCCATTTTCTCCTCCTTCTCCTCCCGGCCCAGAGCCCGGCAAGCTCCCCCAAGCAGGCCGCATCCTCCGGGATGGAGAGGGCCCTCCCCCGACCCCGCCTCCCCCAGCGGCCACATCCTGGAGGCCTAGGCCCAGCCTGTGGGCAAAGGGAGGCAGTGGGGGCGGGGGCCTCAGCCTCACTGCAGGCCTCGGGAAGTGGAGGGCATAGGAGTAGTCCACAGCCTGTCAACCAGCCCCCGGTTTCCCTGAAGCAGGGCGGGGCTGGTGGCCCTGGGAGCAGGTCCCACGCCCTTGTGGGGCAGAGTCAGGCAACCGCCCCGCCCAGGGCAGCCAGCTGGATGTGGGGGGCTCTGGTTCTGTCCGGGCGCTGCGCAGGGGTCCATGCTGTGGCTTCAGGCAAATCAGCCACACAGGGGTCTCAGCCCGGCCACGGAAGGGACAGGGACTAAGGGCGCAGGAGGACCGCTGTGCACTCTGGCGCCTGAGGGAGGCGCTGGGGCTGGTCCACTCTGGCAGTGACCCTCTGCATGGCCACCGGCCAGCACCAAGCTGGGCCGTGCCTCAGTTTGCCCACCATTCACAGCTCACACCTGGGTTGTCATGAGGATTAAGTGACTTACAGTGTTTCAGGCACTTAGAACAGGGCAGAGGGAGCCATCGCTGGCTATATTTGCCATTATTTCCTTTCCTTTACCAGTCAGTATTTATTGCCAGGCATGAGGGAGTTGGTGGTGAGTAAGAGAGGCAAACTCCCTGTTTCTCAGAGTTTACCTTCCAGCGGGGGAGGCAGTGAAGACAAGTACATAAATAAAGGAGAAGTAGAATATTATCTGAATAAAGTTTGCCGTTTAGTTCACGGCCATGCTCCAGTGTTGATTTCTTAGCTTTGGCAAAAGCACCACAGTTAAGTAACCGGCTGACATTAGGGCAAACTTGGTGGAATCCTTTGTGACTTTGCAACCTCTCTGTGAATCTAAAATTATTCCCTAGGGGTCTCTCTGGTGGCACAGGGGTTAAAGTCTCAGCGCTATCAAGCTATTGCCAGCCTCCGCAGCAAGAGTTCGATCCCCGGCCAGGGAGCTAACACACATGGCGCAGCAGACCTCTCCTGCCTCGCCCGCTGCTCCCCTCAGCAGTGTATTTCAGTCAGTCTGCCTGTTTTGCTCCCCACTCTGTCTCTTTGCTCCCCACTCTGTCTCTTGTGAATCCTCTCATCCCACCCCGCCCCACACCTCTGGCCTACATCCCAGTTCTTGTATGCATAAGTAAATAAAAAAAAATCTTAAAAAAATAAAATTATTCCCTAAAGTTTAGTTTAAAGACAAAATTACAATCTGGGCAGTGGGTAAACACCACGGAAAAACAGTAAACAGGGGAAAGAGGTGGCGAGAACAAGGTGCGGGTACCACTCAGGCAGGATAGTCTAGGAGGGCCTCTCTGAGGAGGCAACACTGGAGAGAAACTGAGTGATGGGAAAGGAGCCAACGTGGAGAGCAGGGAAGGTCTATGGGAGGGAGGTGGGAACAGCACCTGCAATGGCCCAGAGGCTGCCATTTGTTTGGGGGTTCTCTGCAGGGTGGCCGGAGAGGAGATGGGGGTCTAGGAGCACTGCTTCAAGGATGCATTGGCATCATTTTGCCCTCTCAAGGGACAGGAGGGAGGCTTGGCCAGTAACTAGCATTTTCCATGCATTTGTAGCTCATTTCAGTCCTTACGGTCACCCCATGAGGGAGGGACCTTCATCTCACTTACAGGGGAGACTGGGAGAGCCGAGACTCAGCTCATGTTGTGTGTTTGGAAGGAGACACCCTCATGGCCTGGAGGCCTTCTGGGGTCTGGCTGGGAGACATGGATCCCTCCAAAAGGCAGGGCCTGGGTAGCACCTGGCTGCGGCTGCAGACGAGTGGGCAGAGCCTGCAGCAGGGGCTGGTGGAGCAAGACCCTGGTCGGGCAAGGGAGCAGCTTTGAACAGTCACCGAGTGTGATCATAGTAAGTGTACGTGTGTCATGCAAAATTCTGAGGGTACAGAACAACATTGAGGGGAAAGTTAGGAAAACCCCCACTTGCCTTCCCCAGAGCTGCCCTCTGGCATCCTCCAGGGACCTCTCTGATGGCAGCCCCTGGACCACAAACACCCGCCAACAATTGCAGCCGCCAAGGGCCTCAGGCACCACCTGCCAGAAGCCCTACCGACCCTGTGGTCTCTTAATCCTCATGCTGACTCTTGCCAGGTGTAGAGCAAGCGTTTTGTTTTCAATCAGAGGCACAGACAGGTTCAATCACTCACCCATGGCACACAGCTAGCACAGGGCATGGACTCAAGGACTCTAACAGCTTTGTAGATGCGGAAATGGAAGCACAGAGAGGCTGAGTAACCAGCCCCTGGTTACCCAGCGAGGAGCTTGAGGAGCCAGGACTTGAGTTCAGGGGTCTCAGGCCAGAGCTCAAGCCTGACTCCTCACTGCAGGGGACTCTGCAGGGGTGAAAGGACCGCAGCTCTGAGTCAGCCAGACCCAGCCTGACACTGCTGCCTACTGCAGGGCCTGGGGCAAGTCACTGCTCCAACACTTCCAGCCTGAGACCCCCGTGTGGCTGATTTGCCTGAAGCCAGAGCGTGGACCCCTGCGCAGCGCCCAGACAGAACCAGAGCCCACTGCGTCCAGCTGGCTGCCCTGGGCAGCGGTTGCCCTGACTCTGCCCCACAAGGGCATGGGACCTGCTCCCAGGGCCACCAGCCCCACCCTGCTTCAGGGAAACAGGGGGCTGGTTGACAGGCTGTGGACTACTCCTATACCCTCCACTTCCCAAGGCCTGCAGACAGTGAGGCTGGCCCCATCCCCCTGCCTCACTGTTCTAGTTTCTCTGCCCCACCTCACCCCCAAGATGGAGAGGAAGGCTTGAGGATGAGCAGCAGGAGGGAGAGGTGTCTGGTGCCAAGGGATGCTGGGGTTCCTCCCCCGACTCTCCTGTGCTCTTCCAGGGGTGGGCGGAGGAGCACTGCTGCAGGGGGATGTTTCAGGGGCCTGGAGCTCAGGGCTTCCTTCCCTGCAGCCAAACTGACAGTGCAGGTGAGGTGCTCCCCAGGACAGTGGGGGTGGGGCCCTGCCTCCATCCTCTACCCACACCACAGCCACATGCAGACCCAGGAATTCTGGGGAGTGGGAGAAGGGAAAGGTTTCCACAGATTTGTGTCATGGGCCCAGCCTCCCCTGCCCACCCCCATCCCCACCCAGACTGAATGAGTGCCAGGACCCTGCGAGGCGGAGGCCGGTGGGCCAGAGGGGCGGGATGCAGGGAAGGAGGCTGAAGCCAGGAGGAGGCAGGAAGGACAAAGAGATAAGGGCCCGGCCAGGTGCTGACTCAGGCTGGGTCCCTGGGGAGGTCTTTATGCTGGCAGGGTCACCTCAGGCTGGTGGGCTGGCTCTCCATTTAGCAGTCTCAGAAAACTGACTTATCTGCCTGCCTCATCTCCTTCTCCCGGTTACCCCACCCCCTGCTCCATACACATATGCATAGGGATGATCAGATTTGGGGAGGCTGAACCAACCAGATTCTCCAAGCATTGACTGACAGGCCCAAATGCCTGTAGTTTCTTCAACTGTAGTTTCTTCTACTTCAATTGTAGTTTCTTCAACTACAATGTGGACCAGACAGTCAGGGCCTGGATGGTGTTAGCCTCCCCTGGGATCCCCTTTTTCCCGCGCAGGCCGCAGGCCTGAGAACCTGGACTAACAATGTGCAGGGGGCCTGGGGTCAGAAATGAATAATTGTTGGCAACCTCAGCCAGGTGCATTGAAGCAGGGAGCTCTTAGGTAAGAATCTCAGTTCCCTGGGCATATTAACTTACCGCTCAGAGCCTCAGTTTCCTCATCTATAAAATGGGGTTATTAGCAGAATGGAGAGCTCAGTGTAAAGACAAAACATCTCATACAAGGCCCAGCATGTAGTAGGTGCTCAATAGATGTCACTATTCCCCGTGACTAACTGATTAATCTCATTTTCCAAACCCCACAGGCCTGAGGCACACTTTGGCACTGGTTCTATGTTCTTTTTTTTTTTTTTTTAAAAAGCCCTGTGGCATTTTTTTTTTTTTAATAGAGGCATGCTTTATTTATTTATTTGTTTGTTTGTTTTGTTTATACATGCACTGGGTACAGTCAGAAGCGCGGGAGGGTGAGAGAATTCACCAGAGCCAGAGTGGGGAGCAGCACAGGCAGAAGGACCGAAGTACGCTACTGAGGGGAGCAGCGGGCGGCAGGAGAGGTCTGCGCACCATGTGGGACCCTCCTCCGGTGGCTGGGGAGCGGCCGGGGATCGAACCAGCGCTGCAGAGGCTGCGGGCAGCTTTGCAACCCAGCGCTCAACCGCTGTGCCACCGGGGAGGCCCCTGGTTCTATGTTCTTGCCGTCTGGGAGATGTACTTTGGCTGTCAAATGCTAGAATCGCAGAGACATTTCCAGGGAGACGGGAGAGACTATTTGAAAGGGGCACAGGGCGCAATAAACTTTCCCTCCTTTTGAGAAATTTAGCCTGGCTCTCCTTTTCTTTACCGTGCCGAACCTTTCATTTTGGTGCCGAAACCCGGGAAGGCAGTGTCCCCTGGCACCGGGGCCGACTT